GTTGACGTCTTGCCCAAACCGGTTCACCTGCACAGCAAAGTTAGATTTCAGTTTAACGAAGGCCGTTTTCGAAAACTTATCTTATTTAGATGACTTCTATCTACTAGAGACACTCGATCAAATATACGGATGTAGGCCTAGCTTAATGATCAGTATGAAAAATTATGCGGATGTAAAGGACTGAGTTATGTCCAGAACGGAATCGGTAGTCTTCAAAGCTTCGACTGTTTCCTTCACAGGAGTGTGGGCAGCAATTCGACCTCCCAACCACGGTGGAAAATCTCATGTTCATCCACTGGGACATGACCTGGTATTACACTCAAAGTTCAAACGCCTTGTCTCAGAATAAACGCAAAGATGCGCATGATTCAGAGCGATCTCCCAGAGACTGAACTGCTAGCGACGCTGGTGGTTTAGGATCCGAGATCACAGGTAAAACCCCCGTAACAGAATTAGGTTTGGGTACACTGACAGCCGATTAGAGCACTGAAACTGCCGTCTATGCTGTGATCCGCACATGCATGCTCATTAGTCGGAAGTGGCTAATCGCTTACTATTCGCAAAAATACTCAGCTTTTCAGATTAGTTGCCTGGGAGAATTACGGTCAGCAACTTTTGCATTTCCTAGCCCCTTCGCTCTGTCATGAAGCTAAGGCGGACGATTTGGATACTAGAGCCAGTTTATGGCTGATTTATTAATGGCAGCCAGGAGTTCCGAAAGCTGACTAGCGTGGTCATCCACAACAATCAGAATAAGAATAAGCGACCGCGGCGACCTGCAGTTAGATCACGGCTGACAAACGGCACTAAGTCGTAGACGGCCATGTAATCTTCCTTGTTTTTATCGGCAATACCTCTCTTCATCCTGATTGTTCCTGGTTACTCGACCGTCTTCCAGTGCTCTGGATCGGAGCACCAAAGCAAGACGTAACACCAGTGCCCCAACTAACAACCAAAGTAGACTTCTAGGCGTCTCCCCATGTGACCGTAACCTACCATTATAGGTTGCCGGCCTAGTTTGTCGTCTCTGCATGTGGCTGACCCATTCAATTATGCTACCTCAAAATTGGATAAAGGAGGACTGAGGCTGGTAGCAAAAACCTCATGAAACCTTTATAGAAACGAGGATGCACAAAGACGGGGGAGAGACAGGAGTTATTCTGTACACAAGCATTTCTGAAAACGTAGGTCGGTCGTCTCACTCTGGCGGTAGATTGTCGTGAAGGGTTGTCAACTTCTCCTTCAGAACGCGGAGAGCCGAGAAGATGATGTTTTTGGCCTTGAGTGAGCCACACGATTCAACTGTTATGTAGAATTTCGAGGGCTGAAGGAAACCAAGGTCAAAACTGAAGGGAGGTAGCGTCAAGACAAACATCACTGAAGGCAAAAAGAGACATCTTACTCGCCAAAAAGCCTTACAAACCAAGGACTTCAGCCCATGAAACGATTTGCGTTTCAAAATTTTTCACTTACTGCAGGTTTCACCAAATTGTTATGCTTTGCTAAGATGTGGCCGACGGTCACGTTATTGATGACATTCTTTGCAACATTTTGGAGATTTTTGAGTGTCATCTCTATTCTATTATCACAATATGGTAGTTCGACCGTGGCATGCGACGTCCACTGTGTACGTCAAGGAGTGGGCTCCGCACCGCGACTTGCGCGTGAATTAATTTAAAGTGAAGCAGACTTGCGAAGCACCTACCATACTCCCTCTTAACCCACCTGACTTCGATAACAAGACAGTGCCAAGACGATTGTAGGTGGGCTCTGGCGCCGGGATTTATATAGTTAAAAAGCCTGTCTCGCACTTCACACATGGCTTGGATCCACAACATGTACCAGGCTTTCACGAGGGCGGTTAGGGCCTCACGAGTGTCGTAAGGACTATGGCTCGAAGGGAGCTTTGCAGTCCGACCCTCCGTCCCGAGAAGGATGAGTTGCCTCTCAGTTGGCCACCTCCAAAACTACAACTCTTGGCGCATCGTGACTGATTCAAACGCGTTAGCTATATTATAGTGAAAAATGGGCTGACGTGCCGTAAAGATGGATTCCCCAATGTCGGTCTCATTCCGGCTCTTTTCTCTTTCAGCATCAGTGGACTGTCCAGGTATCCGGCAGCTGGTGACGGGATTGGGCGCAGTGCCTGACGCGGCGTAAAGGCCAGCGCCTGGGCGTGTCACCCAATCCCCATGTACGGCAGTAGCAAAGGCTCTCGCGGACTCTACGCATCCTAATCAATGCTTGCCGTGAGTCAATTCTATCCTCTTTATAGTCCAGCGTACTTACAGCACAGTCCGGTTTGGGAGCATTGCTAAGTATGAAGACCATAGGGTCCATAGCCTAAGCAGTTACAGACTACGCAACGACAGTACCTTTAGGTGCGGCTGGATACCGACCGAACAGATTAGTTGCGTATAAAAAAATTCACTCCAGTGCGATATTGCGATATAAAAAATGTAACCAGTCTACTTATAAGGTTTTACTCGCCAGCATCCAGCACAATAGTGGGACCGGAGCCTCTTGCGTACGAAGGGCAGATGAAGACGGCCATCTTCAAATTCAGGAACTATGGGAAGCCGCACCTTCATTAAAACTGCCCCGCGCAATCATTGTTCGGAGAGCATAGGTCTAACCTGGTCTTCGGACTACCCCAAGGTTTATGGTCCATGTGCTCTGGTTAGGCTTGCCAAGATACAATATCGCTAAAAGGAGCAAATTCCTGCCAAATATTGGCATCCAGTGGGAATAGTTTACGAGACCATTCCAATTCAATATATTTTTACAGAATATTTTGCAGACTTGAACCTCATTATCTGGCGTGTCAGAACAGTTTTTTGTGACGCTGAAGATATGAATCGAAGCCAGCAGCAGGCACAGCACTAAAAAGGTTGGATATGCATATGTATGCAGAATAGCGTTACCGAATAAGATAAGGGAGACTTGAATGGCCATTTCAGGCTTAATAGCCGTCGTCGGCCAGTCATACCCAACCCCGAAGTGTGGAACACCTGGGGCTCAAACTCACGACCTGTTAGGTAGAAGTCCAACGCCTCTAATCCCTGCGCCACGGACCCGTTTTCCTGTCAGTTTCGATCGGGAATATACAATGGTAGAGGGACGTTCACCGATCGTTCTTACGGAAATCACTCGATTCTGTTCTGCCTTAAGGGTTCTCTCGAAATCGACCAGCAGCCACAAAGCTGCGCATGATATAGGCACTATGCTATTACCGACAAAGACTTGGGAGACTGGAATGGACGTTTCTAGCTTGTAAGCCGTCGTCAGCCAGTCAGACCCAACCCCGTAACGGACAGTACAACGGGCCCGTGGCGCAGTGGTTAGAGGCGCTGGACTTCTAACTAACAGATCGCGAGTTCGAGCCCCAGATGTTCCACACTCCGGGATTGGGAATGATTGGCTGATGACGGCTAATAAGCCAGAAATGGCCATTCCAGTCTCCCTTGTCTTTGTCGGTAATATAATTGTGCGGATGTAAGTACGTTAGGCGAACGTAAAGGCGGTTGACAGTCAGGTCTATTGAGTACCTGCCCAGTTGTGTTTCTGGTCCCAGCTGCTGGTGATCAGGGTTATGATTGGCTGAATGAAGGCAGAATAAGCCCGAAACAGTGCTGTATCAATCTACCCGCATTCTCTGTCGTCCCTCCTCGCTGCTATTATGACTTGGCCGACTTCGGCCTGGTAATTGGTTGCCTGTTCGTGACCTTTGCCACACATACGGAGCTTGTTTGCTTTGTGAAGCCAATAGATCGGTGTGCGCCCATTCCTGATTGATAAATACCCGATCTGCAGCGACAGAGAATGACAGGTGGCGAGGCACTGATGAACTTCGGTTCGATGAAGTGCTTATGACCCATCTGGTAGACCCCAGTGGTGGATCAACTGCGCCAGGTGCGTCTGTGCGCATGTTTGTGTTTCTGGTCCCAGCTGCTGGTGGTCAGGGTTATGATTGGCTGAATGAAGGCACAATAAGCCCGAAACAGTACTGTATCAATCTAACCGCATTCTCTGTCGTCCCTCGTTGCTGCTATATATATATATATATATATATATATATATATATATATGTAGAGTAGAAGTGGTAGGCATTCCGAGTCGATATAATGAAAACAGGAAGAGGTTCTTCGGAAAAATCGAGTTTTACTCGTGAATTTTCGAGCTGGTGACACCAACCCGTCGAAGGAGTAATTACGATACAGAAAAGGCCGCTGGAGCGATAGCCGGTGGCGCCTGTGTGGTGAGGAACGTAGTCGACTTGACGCGAAGTTTTTGAAAAAGCGGAAGTCTGACAGTTATGTGCTCATTGGTAACAGATAGGTTCAGCAAAAAAGAGAGGTCACCAACCTTTCCAAATGGATCGTAGGGTGCCTGACTCTGGTCTGGTTCCAGTTCTGAGTACTCCGATCGCGGCCACTCCTCCGGTTTCTGTAGGAAAGTGTGGCGCAACGCGTTGTCCGGATCATATTCGAAACCCACCCCAGCTGTGGGATTCCACTTGGCGTGCTCCTTACCAAAGCCCTTTTTGGCGAAGGCACGTAACTTAAGACGTTGGCCTTTCCGCATCTTAACAATGAGGATAGACTCCTTGAAAAGAAAAGAGCTAGTGTAGAAAGTTGGGCACAATGTAGGTAATAAGAGAAGTAAAAACCGAGATGGTTCCGAACGTCCAACATAGCATGAGCGTCACAAGCAGTGGGGTTTACAACAAGGACACGGTATGCGACCGTACTCAAAGAGCAGAAACAAGGTCATCGCATAATAAGGGACCGGTGATAATAGGGGTTTTATGGATGGGGCTGGGCGGTGGAAAGGAGAGCGCGATAAAAGGTTAACATTCGGAAACGGGTTGCATTCCCGAAAAAAATGTTTAAATGAGTCCCATTCATGACCTTCGAACTAAGCAGGAAAATTTAAGTTGTGCTAACCAATGCCTAAATACTAAAGTTAGCTAAGTATAGCGCTATCGCGGGACTTGCGCAAGGTAAGAGATAAAGGAGCCGGTCTGAGCAATTGCATTCCAAGGTCAGAAGTGGCACGTCAACCCTCGATGGGCCAGTAAAGAATGTCGACCCAACGGCATTGCAACCAACAAAAATTGCGGGGGAACACAATTAAGCGGTCCAGAAAGCCAACAGAGGTAAGATTTAGAAGTCGTTCGCCTAACCGAAGGTAGTATTGAAAGGAAGGACGAAATTTGACATCAGGGAGGCCAGGACAATGCCATAGAAATAAGAAGTTAACGACTTAGAAAAATAAGCTACTAAGTTTAGAAACCTAAGTAACTTATGCATTCTGATTGTAGAATCCCAACGATTACGCCAGCCATTGCAGATTTAGACGCCCTCAAGTCGATTCGCTGACGGCAGTAAATAAGACTAGGAGTGCGAGCGACATGCCACAAGCCATAAGATATTGTCAGGAAAGGTTACTCCCAACAGCCCAGGCCTGTGTGTGCCACACGCTGATTAAGCTATACAGAAAGAGGCTAAAGACGTACGGTGCTGTCTTCCAATACTGCCGATGTCGGCGGCGGAAATCAGTCAGAAGTAGCTCGTTTCTGGAGAAAATATTATGGTGGCCTATTCGGTGCAGCTGGCCCGTAAACTGCAAGGAAGTAGAAACACTCAATAACCTTTCTCCAATACCCTTTTAATCGTATAAAAAATTTGATATGCAACCTCTGTATCATAGATCAACCAATTTTTTACGAGGTTGAAAGGGTGGGTGAGGATAAGGTGATGTAAAGTGGACTAAAGTGTCTCACTGGTAAGGAAACTAAGAAAACGACAACGGATCCGTCCCCACAGAGTTAAACCGGTAGATGGTGGCCGTGTACTAAAGGTTTCCCTCTAGCGGTGCAGTGGGTAGACTGAAAACGAGGGGTTATATAGGAAGTCATCGACAGGCCTTGTCAATGACAAGGAAACCGAGTAAGTGACAGTGAACCCGTCCCTACCAGGGCATAACCGATGGATGGTGACCGGCTTCTAAAGGTTTCCGTGTGGGAGGGGTACAATGAGTTGACTCGAAGGAAGTTGGCGTAAGATTTGTCATTGAAAAGCAAACCGAGCAGCCTGCAGTGGACCCATCCCTACCATTGCATGACCAGTGAATGGTGACCGTCTACTAATGGTTTCCGAGTGGGGTGCAATGGGTTTACGCGAAAGTGTTGTAGGCTTTGTCCATGACGAGGAAACCGATTAATTTAGCAATGGGTTGACGAAATGTAACCTGTCGTATGCTGTGCCAATGATAAGGAAACCAAGTAACTGCCAAGGGACCCATACTTGCCACGGTGGGACCGGTGGATGATGACCATCTACTAAAGATGTCCGTAGGGGGAGGGTTCAATGAGTTTACTCGAAGAAAGCTGCCTTAAATTTTGTCATTGACAAGGAAAAGCAGTAACGGACAGTGGACTCATTCGCAACCAGGATGAAACCGATGTATGTTCGCCATTTACTAAAGGTTTCCATGTACGAGTACAATGGGTTGACGCGAAGTAACCTGTCGTAAGCTATGTCAATGACAAGGCACAACGGGACTAGTGAGTTCTGTAAAAAAAATCGGTGAGCGCCCCTCTACTATTGTATATTCTTGATCGCAACCGACAGGACGACGAGTCCATGGTTCAGTGGTTAGAGGCGTTGGACTTTTAACAGGTTGCGGGGTCGAGCTCCGGGTGTTCCACGCTTCGGGACTGGGTATGACTGGCTGACAACGGCTAATGTTACGGGGTCAGGACTGCTGCCTCGCATCCGGC